GGAAAAAAATGGGAAAAATACAGTTGTTTTTTAATAAAATCAATTTGAAAACACGATTAAGACACATCGTGAGAATGAAAGGGGGAGAACTCACCCACGAAAATGTAAACAAAAGAGCATAGCATGATGAAAAAGACGCCGAACTTGACGAAAACAAAATTTTATCGTCTAATGTTCATATTATTATTAAAGAGGAAAGATCAAAAGTATTTTGGGGGTCTTTTTTTTTACATTTTTAATCGTTCCTAGCACGTCTGAAATTTTCGTTAAAAATATTGTTTTTTTTTGGTCAAAAAAAAGGGCAGATAATCATTTTCAATCATTTTTTCGATTTGATAAAAAAGATTAAAATCTTACTTTGATATTCTTTTAAAAGTCAATTATCATTTTTTCAAAACTGATTTTAATAAAAACAGATATTATACTGTTTATTTAAAATATTTTGAACCAAGCTTAACTTCACTTCTGCGCCGAAAAAATGTAATTTGAAAATAAAACAACGCAGATCATAACCTTTCGCGTCGCTTGACGATTGACGAAGGGCACATTCATGACGTTTAGATAACTTCCGGGAGGAGAATTCTTTCTACGGATGGAAGGAAGTGAAATTATTTAAGTGAACAAATTATTTACCTTGTTACTTTTAAGGAAAACTTTCAGCGCTCTAATTTTTTAATTTTTATTTTTTTTTTTGTACTTAGCTTTCATTTTTACGTTTACGATGCTTTATGGAAAATATAAAGAAATTAAAAAATAAGACTGTTAATAGTGAGATTAAATTTCATAAGAAAAAGGTATCTAATTAATTTCGGTACCTTTCTTATGAAATTTTATCAGAAGTGTACATAAAATACTATAATTTTATGAACATTTATTACATTTTACTGTGTTATTTGTATTTCCATTCATTTTATTATTAATTTTGATATTTCATTTATGGAAAAATGTCATAACTAAGATTAATATAAAAATAAGATCATATAAATTAAAGTTTAGCAGTAGTTAAATTTCATAAGATGATACTGTTACTTGTAGGTACCCTTCTCAGTTGAAATTGAAAACTCAAATTAACTTCTCCATAGTGTTTCGCAAAGGTTAAGGGCTTAACAGCGGAGAACAATGCTGAACTCAAATAATGCAACTAAATTGTATTCTGGTTGGTCTTCCGTACTTGATAATTACTGTCCGACTATAAACACAAAAATTACATTTCTTAATTACCATGGCTAATCTGATTGGTCCAAATTATACAATTTTCAAAGCGCGAGACAATGACAATCTCACACGGACATTTTGAAAGGTTGATGTTGCTTTTAACTAATGTTAAAATATTTTTTAAATTCAATTTAAACATTTTTTAAAAATCTTTTTAAAATTAAAGAAATAAGAAATAATTGTATTAAAAATTCAATTTTCATTGAAAAAATTTTTTGCTTTCAGAAAATATTGTCCATATTCATAAAAACAAATTAAAACAAATAAAAGCATTTGAAACTAAATAATATATTTGTTTTATTGAGTTTTGTATGTTACAATTCACAGCTGATTTTCAGGTACGCTGGCCAAAAAAAAAAAAAAACAAAAACAAAAAAAACATGATTTGCATTCTTCAAAGCCTTGTGCTTTTAACTATTGTAATCACTAAAACCGATGGTCTCGAATTTCTAGAGTTTTTCATAAAATTAGTTATGGGGTGTTAATAAATATAAAAAAAAATATTTCTGCCATGACTTTAATAAAAAAAAATATTTATAATAATTTCGATCATCTGTGAATAGTTTCTGAAAGTTTCATTAACATCTGACAATTATTTTTATTTTTGCAAGATTTTCCAAATTAATGTGTGTAAATACAAAAAATGCGCTAAAAATTATCTATGTTATTTACTACCCCTTGTTGCGACAAAGAGAAACAAGGTTTTTAAATCAAAATTTAGAATATTCTAAAAAATGGAAAAATTTTTAAAAATAATTAAAAAAAATTAGTCTATCCTCTTCATAAAAAAAATCAGCATTTTGACGATAAAATTTTGTTTTCATAAACTTTGGCGTCTTTTTCATCAGACTATGCTCTATGTTTTAGCGATTCCGTGGAGTGACTTACGTTAAAAACCCAGGTTGTTTATATGTGTGTATGTGTGTGTGTGTGTGTGTTTGTGTGTGTGTGTTCCTTTATATATGGGATCGGATTTCTTACATTTTTCAGCCGATAAAACAAACATCCACTTTTTTTTTCGGTAGGTAGTATTTCTTATTGTCTTGCACACTTTTTTCTTTATTTACATTCAGAATGGTTTAAAAATTCCATTTACAAGACAATTGTTTATAATAAAATTCTATTCACCAATCGATAGACTCATAACGATTGTAAACAATGTTTTTGTTTGAATTTAGGTTTGACCAATTCGTAAAAAAAAAAAAAAAACTAATTAAGACATGCGTGTCCGTCAACCTTAAACAATAATCTTTGTCAATTTTATTTTTCAGTCTTTATGATGGTTGATATTTGATCTATCTCTTACTGTTACATCCCCGGGCAACGCCGGGCTCTACTGCTAGTGTATAATAAATTATACGAAATATTTTGAGAATTCTCATCAACAACAAACAACTGACCTCAGTCAAAGGTTTATGGTGAAAACTGAAAACTAGGGTTGTTAATTTACACAATCGTATACAAAAAGAAAAAAAAAGAAAAATGTCACCAGTGGTCTAAAAGTTAGATTTTAATAAACTAAGAATTTTATTGATTAATAAATATTTTTACAATTTTTCACGTCCTGGGTATGACAATCCAGGGTAAGATAATAAACTACGTCCAACAGCAAGGCCTCTGATCAGTAGATTTTGAGGAACGTGGAACCACCTCATAATTGCTGGTGTTCCCAGGTCCACACTGACCTGGGGTGGTAGCACCTGTTAGGGGTCCCAGCGATGGGCAAATAGTTAACCCCCACCAAACTGCTGTCAAAACATTATGAAAGTGTAAAAATAGGTTTAATATCAGAAATAATTTGTAAAAAATTATTGCCAGCAATTGAAGAAAATTTATTACCAGCAGTACATTGTTACCAGCAATACATTTTTGAGAAAGACATATTACCAGCAATAAAAATATTGTCGGCATTAAATAACCCATTGAGATTGATATGCTGTAATACAAACCAAACCAAACTTATTTTTCAATATGTATTTTAGGAGGAAAAATATTGTTGATCATTTTTTAGTATAATCCTTCAAATTTCGTAGCAGACGATAAACATAGTCGTTTGTTTATTTTTTTTAATTTAAAATTAACGACGCTGATTGGTTAATATATGTGGATGCTGAAATTCAAATCAGAGACTATGTTCTACACATGATTAGTTTATTTTTGAACTTTAGTAATATTGCTTAAATCTATTGAATTTTTCTATAATTTTTTAGCGTGTCCATACAGGGTGTCCATAAAGTTCATGTGCACTTTAAAAAATATAACTTTATTTGTATTTGCGATAGAAATAATCTGTAAAAAGTTTTATAAAGTTTAATGTACTTAGTTTTAAGTATAGTTATTGAATAATTCTTTACCACAAAATTTGAAACAATTTTTAGATAAGTAAAAAAATATTTTCTTTTTTCCAGAATCAATTTGATCCATGGCTTCAACTGAGGAAAAAGTAAACTGTGTCCTTTGGTTGGTTGAACTGAAATCTACTATTACTGTACAAAGAAAGTTTAGAATTGAATACAATAAACCTCATAGGAACACTATTGCTAAATGGATGAAAAAATTTAAAGAGACAGGCTTCGTCCATGATAAGCCACGGTCTGGAAGGCCATGTATCAGCGATGAAAGTGTTGCATCCATAGAAAAATGATGGAGGACATGTGGAAACTTAAATAAAATTTCAATAAAACTTTTAAAAATATAGATTTACTTCTTTCTCATCCTTTTGACTAATTATTTCTATCGCAAATACAAATAAAGTTATAATTTTTTAAAGTGCACACGAACTTTATGTATATAATATTTGTTTATTACGGCAAAGCTCACAAGAAAATAACATTTCGGCGTTAAATGACCCATAAGGAGTTGATATGCCGTTAAACATTGAAATCAATAAGTCAGTCATGGTACCAGTAGCACTCGTTGTATTTCGATATAAATACTGTAATAGCCTACGAATGTCATAAACTATCAGTTGGAGTATGAGCAATCTCAACTTGAAAGAATTTTAATATCAGTCTCATATTAACTGTCAATTTCGCTTCGTAAGATAAGAATTCTACAGTATCCCTCCTCCCCCGCAGCACCCACCCCCGCAAAAAATAACTGACCGATCTTTTCTGAGGGTGATTAGCGATCAACAACATGGAACGTCACAAAACATTTGTTTTTTTTTTACATCTTATTTTCATGACCGGGTTCGTAAAGCGTTCTTATGTCTTATTTCGATTTTAATACTTACTGAACCACCGGTTTTCGGGCGATCTTGAAGTTAAGCAACGTCGAGCCTGGTCAGTAATTAGATGGGTGATTCATTAGGAATGCAAGGTATTATAATCATGGCTGTACGAGTGCTATAAAGGGCCTACGGTTATATCACGCTTAAACACCTGTTCTCGTTCGATCACCGGTTAAGCAACGTCTAGCCTCGTCAGTAACTAGATGGGGTGACCGATTGAGAATACATGGTGTTGTAAGCTTGGATGACTGGGTGCTATAAAGAGCCTACGGTTATAACACGCTTAAACACCTGTTCTTGTTCGATCACCGGTTAAGCAACGTAGAGCCTTGTTAGTAACTAGATGGGTGACCGATTGGTAATAAAGGTGTTATAAGTTTGGACGTATCTGTGCTATAAATGGCTTACGGTTATATCAAGATTAAACATTGGTTCTCGTCCGATCACTGAAGTTAAGCGACGTCGAGCCTGGTCAGTAACTAAATGAGTGACCGCTTTTAATACAAAGTGTACAAGCTTGGAAGTGCAAAAGCTATAAAGCTCTTACGACGATATGAAACATCCGTTCGAGTTTGGTCAGCAGTTTTGCTATTCTGTGTCGTCTCGGGATCCCCGCACTATTAATAAAAATGGTATCAAAGAAAAGGGTTATTTACTTTTGGGATGCGTTTTATTAACCTTATAGCTTCGATTCTAAGAGGCAGTAGCAAAACTGACGTGGCAGGAAGACGTATCGCACCTCCTCGGGTGGTATTATCCGGTCGCAAACCTAGGTGTGGAAGGCATATCGACGTTTCAGACTTTTAGAGACCCCCTGTTGAATTCGCGCCATTTTGGACAAATGCAATGCATCATTGTCAGAATGCTCATCTCACAAGTCACTCTGGCCAATCACTGACCATTTTGGCCCTGGCCTCCGCATTCTGTAACAACCGGTTAAGCAACTTTGAGCCTGGTCAATAACTTCGGGCTATTAGGATAATACAATAGACGTTACCATCTATAATGTAACATTAACCAGCATATATAAATAGTCGAGCCAAAACACGACAAACATGGCCTTAAGATTGCGTTCAAGCATGAAATAATTACCGCTTGAACTTTTATATGTATATTTACATATATGCTCAATTTCTGATATTGTGCACTTTTATTCAAAAATATATTTTTTAACCTGTAACCTTCTAGGGTCGGGGGTGGGGGGCAACACATGTACTTCCGCAGCAGTAGCAATGGTGATTCCTGGTTAAGATAATCTGACGGAGGCCATCACTCTCAAGACTGGTTTTTAATTCAGAGTTTTTCCTTCTCCTAGACTGGTTGCCTTCGCTTATTTACCCACAGTTGGGGTGGGGGAGAGATGGATTCATACCTTGCCCAAGGGTATTAGCACATAATACTGGAATTCGAACACGGTTCTGATTTCTCAATACCAGCCGCTACGCAATACTCACCCTGGTCAATTTTGAGGTTGATATGCCGCTAAACAAAATCAACCAACCAACAATAACTATTTATAGTATATATTTAGTTGAAGTGATAAAATTGTGTTCAAAATATTTAGATTTCGGCATTAAATAACCCATAGAGGTTGATATGCCGCTAAACAAAATTAACCAACCAACAATACCTATTTATAGTATATATTTAGTTGAAGCGATAAAATTGTGTTCAAAATATTTAGATTTCAGCATTAAATAACCCATTGAAGTGTTGATATGCCGCCAAACAAACCCCCAATCTCCTGATCAGAAGCCTTGCTGCTGGACGTAGTTTATCGTTACAACAAGGATGAACTACAATCCATAAATAAAGCAACGAAATGGCCGGCTATATTGAATTCATTTTTGGGCGTGTTTGTGTGTTTTTGATTGTGTTTGTGTGTTTATTTGTTTGTTCGTGTGTGTGTATGCGTGCGTGCGTGAGTGTGTGTGTGTGTTTGTGTGTATGGTAACGGAAAATGAATTCCTGCTTTTGACATCGCGCGCACACACACATGCGCGTGCGCGGACGTGGGCTCAAAAATGAATTGAATAAAGCCGGCCATTTTGTTTTGGGTATGTTGCAGCTTAGCGCCGCGAAAGCGAAATCATGACGTCACTATAGAAATGAGTTCATTATCCAATCAGATTTCTTAACCATTTGTGAGCACGTTGGCTTGCCGAAGTTGTTATCATGTGACATTTGAGAAAAAAAAAAAAAAAAAAGCCGAAACGCAAAGAATTAAACGTTTTCCTTCTTAGTAACTATGGAAACTGCATCCCAATCCTTTTCCTACATGATCAATTTTATCATGAAATTTGTAGACTCAGGAACGTCGACATGCAAGCATAATTGCAGCCGATTTTCTCTTCAAACTGCGATTATTTTCTTATCAATGGTGAATATCGAAAGTGCTCGTCACGATGTTCAGGGGAACAAACAAATTAAGAAACAAAATGATCACAAATGATTATTTCAAAATATGATAATTCTCTTAGTAATATCGTTTTTTGTCTCTAACTTAAAACATGAGAGTCAATGAGAAGAGAAAATCGGCACAAAAGTCAAGAAGAAGAGTATTTATATATTATCATCACTTATAATATGCTTCGTCGCAGTCTGTACATCTATCTGTCTATCTATCTATCTCACTCTATTCATATCTATCTATCTATCTATCTATCTATCTCACTCTATTCATATCTATCTCACTCTATTCATATCTTTCTATCTATCTCATTCCATTCATGTGTACTTATCTATTTATCTGTCTCATTCTATTAATATCTATCTATCTATCTATCTATCTATCTATCTATCTATCTATCTATCTATCTTACTCTATTCATATCTATCTATCTATCTATCTATCTCACTCTATTCATATCTATCTCACTCTATTCATATCTATCTATCTATCTATCTATCTCACTCTATTCATATCTATCTCACTCTATTCATATCTTTCTATCTCATTCCATTCATGTGTACTTATCTATTTATCTGTCTCATTCTATTAATATCTATCTATCTATTTCACTCTATTCATATCTATCTATCTATCTATCTATCTATCTCATTCCATTCATGTGTACTTATCTATTTATCTGTCTCATTTTATTCATATCTATCTATCTATCTATCTATCTATCTATCTATCTATCTATCTATCTAGTTAGCTAGCTAGCTAGCTAGATGCATTCGTTCATGCATTGAATATTGCTATTTCATCTAGTCTGATGGTCTTGTTGAGGTTTAAGAGATTCTTGATAAAATACAAAGAAGAATCTGCAATATTATTTGTCATGGCCTAGCATTTCGGTTTCAGTTTATTTCCTCCCACCGTAACGTCGCTTCCTTTTGTTTTGCCACATCTTGGCAGTTAGTTCTCATCATTTTACAGTGAAAATGGCTCGGTGTAACCGTAAGTTCTATGCTAACAGTTTCTTCTATCGCACTTCACGCTTGTAGAAATCTCTTCTGGCTTCTTGCTTCCCAGTCAACTTTGACCTTCAAACCTTTAAGTGCATCGTTAGCTTTTGTTTTCTTAATTCTTGTTCTTTTATCTTCTTAATTATGTTATGTTTTCTTATATTCTTTCACACTCAGTAATCCCTTGCGTCTTAGTGGCTGTATTGCCTTTTCTTTGGTGAAATTATGATAAATAAAGAGATTTTTAATGATGAGAAGATCGCTACCGTAATGATTTTTCACGGTAGTTATGCACTTGGCCTGCAGTCTTAAAATGTAGACAAAATGTTTTCATCACTTCGCGGAATACCTTATATAGAGGAATACATTCATGATTTCATTGGATAGAGAGACCTACCTGTATGTCTTTATAGGATACGGCGAGTTAGAACTCGGGTGTTCTTGTGATTGTATTGAGTGTATATTCCGATAAAAAAAAGTTTCACTGCTGTTTAACCTTTTTAAACTGACACCTTTTACTATTATTTTATTACTGGTTTGATTACATCTTATTATTGTAGCTATTTATTCCAAAACTCTTGCCTAATACACTCTTCATTATTACTAGTAATAAAATTAATCAGTTTGGACTTATCCTCCTTACTCTCCTGACCTTGCTCCATCTGTCATCTTTTCAGATCACTGCAATATGTTTTAGAAAGAAAATAGTTTCGCTTTATACTTTTTACTCTACTGTAATCAAAAATTTCACCAGAGGCCACTCGCCATGTTTATAATTCATTGTGAGGAACTGTAATTTATACAATTAAGGAAATGATACTGTGTTGATGACCAGCTCGGAAAGAAAACTACATGACCTCCGGAACAGGGTGGTAGAAGAAAGCGACGTAAAACAAAAGACAAATCCATAATTGCAAGAAGGCAGACGGTATGGTCATCAGCCAGAGAAAAAAGCTGAAGGTGCGAGTTACGAATTAGAGAAATAAACAAGCAGTTGCAAAATTTTAAATATCTGGGAACCGTTTTAACAGAAGATGTAAAATGCGTCACCGAGATCTGTTTTTATTTTCGAAATGTATATATATATACATTTTCTTTCATTTCGTTTGAAAAATCAAATTTGTCAAGTGGATGCCGTTAATTTCATGAAAGTTACTCGATTTTATGTGGAATGGCAGCAATTTCTTGACGAATGGCATCTGTTAATTGTTCAATAGATCGAGAGTGATGAGTGTATACCTTTGATTTTAAAAAAATCGTATGGGTTCGAATCAGTTTATCGGGAGGGCCAACGCTCTTTGTGTTACAGTTACCGATTCATTGTTCTTGATAAACGTTTCCACAATGAAAACGCGATGCCCGGCCAATTAATGTTGGCAACTGAAAATAAAATGAAATAAAATGGCATTATAATTATATTTCGAAAACAAAAACACATTTTTTCATTTTTTACTCTATTTCGTTTTTATTAAACCTACAAATGTGTCACATCTTTTTGAAGTACCCTGTATATACGTTTATTTGGCTAGCAAGGTCGAGTTTACTGTATTTAAACACAATTCTCCATGATTTTCTCTCATACATTCATATCTGCTCAATGCGTATCCAAATGTAAACAAATGACGTCACACATTATGAACTACACAAAGTCTGACAATTATTTTTTAAGACATTTTTTATGTTTATACGTTTTTTTTTATAGATACAAATATTTAAGTAAATGCTCTGTTTATAATAAACAGTATTAGCTCTGAAGTTGGTAACCCATAACAAAAATCGTGTTTCGAGTAGGTACGGGATCATGTCTGCCTGAAATGCACACGGAACGCTCTTTGTGTTACAGTTACCGATTCATTATTCTTGATAAACGTTTCCAAAATGAAAACGCGATGCTTGCCCAGTCAATTAATGTTGGCAACTGAAAATAAAATGAAACAAAATGGGATAATATTTACATTTCGAAAACAAAAACATATTTTTAGTTCTTTATTCTATTTCGTTTTTATTAAACCTAGAAATGTGTCAGATCATTTTGCCGTACCCTGTATATCCAGAACATCAGAGCAGATATGGCAATAATATTCAATGCATGGTCCATTGGTAGAATTGCAATATGAAAAATACCTGACACGACACAGTGACCCCCAACATTCCGATCAGCAGTGCTAACAACTAATTCAATACAACCACACAATTTCATAAGCAAAATGGCGAATGAGTTGATCTTTTAGAGATTACTTTTTCCATAACGATTAAATGATATCAGTTTTAGAAACGTTAAAATTTACAAGGCATTTCTTACTTAATGCCTTGTAAATGTAGGGATGCCATTTTTGTGAGTAGCTACCAGTTTTATTTTGACAGACATCTTGAAATGGACAAGGACGGTTGGTGGGGTTTAAATAATTACAAGCCCATAACTCTGTTAAACACAGTGTTAAAGATTTGGACCAAGATGAACGAACGAACAATTCAAAGCAAACTGCATTTGATCATATCGTGTGTAGAAGACGACGAACAAGCCTCGCTGATCATTTTGTATCAGACCAATGCATCCAGCAGGGTCGACCATGAGTGCCTAGCTGCTCTCCTGCAGGCCGCCGGATTCAAACCCGAGCTGTAAGTGGATCTCCCTCCCGAAATACAGTACATATGAGGGTCGGCAGTGAAATTCGCCCTCTGTGATCTGCTTTAGTCGGCGAAAGTCAGCCAAATAACTGCTTAACTCGTCAACACTGAGACCAGGTTCCTTGGTAAACCGGCTCTCGAAATGCTGCCGAAACGACTCACATATGTACTGTATTTCGGGAGGGAGATCCACTTACAGAAGGATGCTGAGAATACCATGGACCGAAAACGTGAACGACGACCTTTCAGAGAAAATGAAAACAAAACTCTTATACATAACATCAGAAAGAAACAGTCGAAATTTCTCAGGTATATAATGAGAAAAGAAGACTTAGAAAATTTGATACTCACAGCACAGACTGAAGACAACGCATAAACTACTTGGAGGTTATAGTAAGGATTTGTCAGTGGTCAGGAATGGATGAAAGCATTACTGATAGAATAGGGCTATTATAAGTATAATGTGAAAGCATTGCTAATGATTTTACTATAGGAATGCATTGAAAATCAGGAAGAAGGGATTACTGATAGAATAGGGCTATTATATGTATAATGTAAAAGAAAGGGATTGTCAGTGGTCAGGAATGAATTTTTGATATAATCGGGACATAATACGATCATTAAATCAGCTGAGCATTGGCTGGCAAATATTCCCTGTCGTCTGGATTAAACGTCTTACACTGACAAATTTCTTCTTTACAATCGTATCGCAGTAGTTTAACATGTAAAAGTGTAATCCCTTAATAATTATGAAAGAACATAACAGTGACTGTGCCGAATATCAAACTGGGAATGGAACCTCGGACATCAGAACCATTATTTCAACTCTCGCTTCACGGTACTGTCAGTACGGTATGTAGGTCACAACACTAATTTCAATCACGGACTGAATTCGAACAATTGAATCAAATGGATTTCCGTTTGTGAAGAGGACGGGCAGAATTAATGACAAGCCAACGCAGGTCAATCGAACGCAGGGATTCTGGACTTTTGTCTCGAATTATTAATCAAGGTGGCTCTCATAAAGCACTTGAAGGTGTTGCAAATGAAAGCCGAGGAGAGGCAGGTGAGAATCAGGTGATACTTTTGGTCAATGAGGACACGGATACACTCTTAATTTAGAAGGAGAGAGACGGAAGATATTAATCACATCCAGGCTTGACTTTTCAACCACAGAAATCACCCGCCACACATATATATATATAAATATAGATAGATAGATAGATAATATTAGTGGTCAATATATATATATATTTACAAGAGGATAAAATCATTCCTGAGTAGTCGGCTAGCCAGATACACACACACACACACATACACACGCGCATGCATATATATATATATATATATATATATATATATATATATATATATATATATATATATATATGCATGTGTGTATATATATATATATATTCAATAAAACCAAAAAGTTCCAGGAACTTATCTGGTTAACAGACTCAAGAGTTTTGCGTCTGGATTAGATGTTTGCCAGATAGGTATAATTAAATAGTTCAGTTTGCCATATCCCTTTCAGGCATAGGTGAAAATGGTTCTCCACAACGTCCTGTCTTTTGTTGCTCTAAGTAACTTTTCGTACTTTACCATCCGTCATTGTTCTTGTTCCGCCACCATTATGTTGCTTTTGCTTTATGTACTATGCTCCTTAAGTATGTGCGCGATCATGGCTCTCCACAACTTCCTATCTTTTGTTGCTCTAAGTACCTTTTGACACTTTACCATACGTCTTTGTCCTTGTTCTGCCATCAATATGTTTCTTCTGCTTTCATGATCATTCAGGATGCCCTAGACCATGACTCTCCACAACTTCCTATTTTCATTGCTCTAAGTACCGTTTGTCTCTTTACCATCCACTTTGTCCTTGTTCTGCAATCCATATTTCTTCTGCTCCTTCAGGGTATGCGCGATAATGACTCTCCACAACTTCCTGTTTTTATTGCTCTAAGTATCTTTTATCTCATCACCTCCTTCTTTGTTCTTGTTTTGCCATCAATATGTTTCTTTTGCTTTTATGCAACATGCCCCTTCAGGATATGTTCCATCATGGCTCTCCACAACTTCCTATCTTTCGTAGCTCTAATTACCTTATGATAC